GGAGTCTGCTTCTCCCTCTGACCCTCCCCCCTCTCATGTGCTCTCTCTCTTTCTCTCTCTCAAATAAATAAATAAAATCTTTAAAAAAAAAAAAAACAAACCATTAAAGCCCTAAGCTAGTTTTATAGGGAAAGAATGTTTACTACCAAATTTTACTTTTAATTTTTGTCAATCTATACATGTACATAGTTGTCAGTGTGTAAAGATATTATGTTGTTTTCATTCACTCAAGTTCATACACATATAGCATGGATCTGGTTTAAATATTTTTTTTGAATAGCTATGCAACAGTGTTTCCTTAATCTCCACCTTTGCTCTATTACCTCCACAGTTTTGGACGTATCTGCTAACAATCCATACTATCATTTATTTAATATAGTTACTTAAATTAACTCACTTAAAAAAAAAAAAAAGCTTCCTCTTAAGCAATACACATTAAAAGTTCCTGAGCGCCTGGGTGGCTCAGTTGGTTAAGCGTCTGCCTTCGGCTCGGGTCAAGATCCTGGGGTCCTGGGATCAATTCCCACATGGGGCTCCTTGCTCAGTGGGGGGTCTGCTTCTCCCTCTCCCTCTGCTCCTCCCCCCACTGGTGTTGTCTCTCGCTCTCTCTCTCAAATAAATAAAAAATCGTAAAAAAATAAAAATAAAAGTTCCTCTCCGAACCACCTAATCATCTTAGTGTCCCACCAGACGTGGAGGGACCACACTTTAGGAAACTTTGCCAGAGGCCCAAATTGTACTGCTATGTCCCAGTTTAGCACCTCCCTTATTATTTGGTAATTAAGTAGTTCCCAAAATGCTCATCATTAAAAACACCACAGCTACAAACTGTTGTGCAAATTATTTTTTGTCTCCTTTCAAGTAATTTCTTTAGGACATATACTTCTGAAATTAAAATTACTGGAATATAGGATACCATTAAAAAAAATTCTGCGACCTTCCTATTTCTTTAAGGAAGTTTTCATATTCACACTTGAGATTATACATGGTATATTCATGTTACCTCTATCTAAACTATATATACTTTTTCGTTTTTTGCTTTCTTCTTTCATTTATATGGCTCCAGTGTTGATCACTGGTAGGGGAAATCAAGTCTTGGCAATCTGGGCTTGTCTTCCCTTACACCTAAGAGTTGTCTTGACTTTTTGGGGGTGGGCTTATATTTTCTAGTTATTTTCTAATTCACCAGTTCTTTACCTCATTCTCTAAAATGCCATTTAAAAAACCCTTCACTGTCTTGTGTGGAAACTGCATATGCCTTCTCTAGAATAGCAGCTGGTAGCTACTGCGCTCACGGGGGGCTGCCCTTCTCTTGGACTGATGCTCATCCCCACCTCGCTAATTTTCCTCTTTCTACTCAGTTCTGGGGCATAAAGTCCAGAAGTCACTCTTATCCTGGCATCTTCATTTTCACCTGTCCTTTCTTACCAGCAGCTTTAAGTTCCTATCTTAAACTTAAACGACGTAATGGGCCGAAGTCTGAGGAACAGAGAAGAGGATCTTCTTTTGAAGACTGTTGCTGAGTAAATCTCTAAAGTCCTGCTCAATGTTCACAATGTCACCTTTCACCTAAAGAAAACTTTAATTGCTTCTACTAGTGGCTTCCATGTTGCTAGTCTTTGTTTATACTGATCCCTCATCCTTCCAATTATTTGTAGATTGGATCTTCTTCTATTTGTTAGTTCTATATGTTTTTCTTGCATTAATCATCCAATTTGAGTAATTTTGGTCTGTGTTTGCTAGCGTGTCCTTAGCACTGCTGATTCTGTTTAACACTTGGTATAGTTTCTATTCCATATTCTATTCTGTTATTTACATTATTCCATTCTATATTTATGAGAATATTTGTCAATATCCCAGTCCATTCTTTTTAAAAGCATTTTTTTCCCTCTCCTTTTGGATGTATGTTTATTCATGTTTTTAGGTGGCATTATTGCTTCCTCTCTCCATTAAAGTTCTTACAAGCCTCCTCTTTGTTACCCCTACTCTGAAATGGGATCTTTAATTATTTTCTTGATGTTTTTGTTGCTTGTAGCTAGAGCTTCTAGCCTTTTCCACATCACAGCAGCACATGAGAAAATGTTACTTGTAAAGCAGGCATGGTTCATGGAGGAGTATGCTCCCCGATGCAGGGGGCTAGCTCTGAGGTTCCTTGCAACTTCAGACCCTGCCTGGCTCTAGAGACCAGGCGTGTAATCTGTGTACCTGCAAACTAGTCGTGGATGCCAATCAGGAACCTCCCCTATTTGTACGTATGTATAAAGTGTGTATGTGTGCATCCTCATGTGTTATCACGAGCTACGTTGGATTTCTGAATTAACTGGAAAACAATTCCATAATGCTTCTACCCACTCATTAACTTTCTCCCTTAAGAGCCTTTAATTCAGCAAGTTTAAGGAACCAATAGGAAAACAGGATGTAACTAGAAGGCATTTAGATTTTAAAAGTAGTTGAGGCAAAATTCTGATTGTGACTCAAAAACCTTTCCTGCATTCTGAGTATAAAGATTCTCATAAACAATAGTTTTTGCTATCTTCTGCACTAACAAGGATATATCGTTTTCTTATGGGAAATTCATATACAGATCTTAAGATAATTAATCAAAATATTAAAATGGCACTTAAATATGTTTTGTTTTCCATTTAGGATAGGAAATAAACCTAAAAGACTGATCGTACTTTAGTTCTCAGAGAACGCATTAAACAAAACCCCATTTTTTTTTTTTTTTTTTTTTTTACCGTCTGGATCTTCAGCAGGCTGAATGCTCATGTACGGTTCTCCTTTCTCCATGCGAGACTGTCTCTGTCGACTTTCTTCCTCTAAAGCAGCTTCTGCACGACTTTTTGCATTTATGTAAGCAAGGTATGCGGGGGAATTATGATAGGCCTTCATAGATTCATTGTACTCTATCTGAAATTCAAATGTTTTTCAGTTTTATAATTAACATATTGCAGGTTATACAAATACCTTTATCTCCTTTGAATATCAAAAGATATAATTATCTTCTTTCTACAGACAAGGAATCTGAAGTGTAGAGAAATTAAGTGACTTGAGCCAGCACACAGAGACAGTACAGCCTCAGCTGATTAGATCTTTTGTTTCTTTTATAAAAAACAAGCAAATGTTTATGCATTTTATATTGTCTCCATCCCACTGTGGTCCCCATTCTACCTTTTCTGCTTCGTATTCGTTTAAATATTCTTGTTTTTCTTCATCAGTGAGATCTCGCCACATGCCACCAATAATCTTGCCAATCTCCCACAACTTTAGGTCAGGGTTGGAAGCTTTTACTTGGTCCCAGACCTTAAAAAGGAAACATGAAATTTCAGTATGGATGCCTAAAAATATAGACCTTTAAAAATCCTTTTTAATATACACATTTTTAAACATAAACAAAAGCAGAAGGAATAGTATCAAATCCCTATGTTCTCATCAGCCCACTGCAACAATTATCAATAGCTGGCCAATCTCATTTCCTCTGCTGGATTAATCCATGGCAGATCTCAAGACATCTCCAATCAGTGTTGACAGTTAGGATGAGCTAACCCAATAACACAGTCTCTGTCTCTCTAAAAGTTCAGAGAATTTAGAAGGAAAGTGGTTAATCTGCATAACACAACAGACCATATCATCAAATACATGTATAGTAATTGTGACCCAAAATTTCTAAATAGTGGTGAAAATAGCTAAATGCTCTTGCTATTAATAAAGATACTGGCTCTATTTGTTACTTTACGAGAATATAGGTTCATCACTAAACCAAACCACGAGGGAAAATTTAAGAAGTGTAAAGAAAATGAAAATTACCATAAGCTTACTGTGTAGAGATAACCACTGCCTTCTAGGCCTTTTTTTTCTTCAGACTAACATACTGTTGTTATCGTTTTATAAAAAATAAGATACTAATACATGTAGTCCTATGTGCCTTTTTTCACTTTACATTTTTCTCATGTCACTGAATTTCTCCAAAGGGCTACGTATCACTGTCTTATGGATTTAAACCATTTATTTAATCATGTTCCTCTTGCTGGATTTTAGTTCCAGAATTCTGAAATCAGAACTAAGTTCTTTAAAAACTGCAATTCCTTATCCTTTCCTTGACTATGCACAGAAATGCTGGCTAAGCCATTATGAAATCTGATGTAGAGCAAAGCAGCAAAGAGAGCAGTCCTTACTCCCTCTGGCCCCTGGCACCTACCTTTCTGCTGTACCTCATGTAGGGCATCAGCGGCTTATCTGGTGGCTTTGGGGGTTTTGGAATCGTAATACCAGAGGATGCCTACAAAAGAGTTAAATACATTCATTATTCAATTGCAAGTAGTTCATGAGCAAAATGAAAAGAGAGTCCCTTAAAAAATTCTAATGCGCCTTTCTTCTACTCGTCCATGGATACAAGATTCTTATATTTTCTCCACTGAAAATAGCTATCACTGCAAATTCAGAAATGTTCACATCAAAAGAAAATAAAGAAAATGACTTTAGGCACATAATTTTAAAATATTTTACTTAGCAGTTTTTTGATACTGCTTTGACAACCTGGCTGTAAGAACAAATAAAGTATTATGTAATAATCCATACATCGAATATATATGGTTACATATCACATGTCTCACGTTTAGGACATAACCTAGCACCCTTTTATTGTGCTTAATTTACCATTACACATACAGTCAACACTTGATTATCTGCCCGAGTCTGGGCTCCTTCAGCACTTACCACTCTCACACTGTCTGCGAGGGACCTTGTATCTACTTGCACTATTTCAGGAACGCACTGCACCCCTACATAAACAACATCCCTACAAAAACTACCTTCTAGGTTCAAAACAGAAAGCAAAAACCTTATTTCCTTTATCAGGACTAGAGATTTTATTTTTCTTAAGGCTCTAGGTCTGCATCTAGTGGCTTTCTATAAAGGAGATCAAAAAGTATAAACTAAAGTCATGCCTTTTTTGTCCTTAGTCCTAATAATAATGTAGGAGTGAACAAGTTTACCAAGGACAGAGAAATGGCAGACACAGGGCCCAGTTAGATTATTTTTGAGGCCTTATATTGATTAAAAATTTCTGGTTTTGTGCGGAGAAAGAAAAATGAAAACAAAAGGAGGGAAGACTAAAAGTATTTTTTAAAAAGGTTAAAAAAAAAGTGGGATAGAGAGGGAAAAAAGGCAAAGAAAAAGATGAGAGACTGGTTCTTTCTATGAGCTAATATCTAGATAAGAGATATCAGATAGCGTCTAGTGGGCACCCCAGATAACTCCAATCCATGAGCGCCTACTTCTGAGCTTAGTTTCATCTGAACATATATGACTACATTTGATCAAGGACCCAGAATAAATTAATCATGGCTGAGTCACATTTATTTCCCCCCAATTTCTAGGAGACAATGGATATTGGTTCTTCTTGCCAGGCTAGGGGGAAGAAGTGCTGGCTTCACTCTATCAAAAGACAGGGACTGGCAAATCCTTATAAGGAAACTAAGAGATATTTTGTTCCCTTGCCCTTCAGTTGCTGCTGTGATAAAACCCTGGACAAACGCCTCCTTTCTGGGTTGGGACACCAATTATAACCTTATTTTTTATCCAAGGGCTCAGAGATTAGTGTGTCTGTCCCATTCCACTGCTTTCAAACAATGCTTCCTCCTCCTATGGCGAGGGTCCTCCTCCATCCCTATGTACTTTCAGTAACACTGCTTCTTCATACATGAAATTGTTAGAAAGCGTATCACTTTTGAAACAGTATTTCCGCTCTTCTTTCCACTCCTCCCATACATTCATACCATACCTCATGCTGGTGCCCATGCAGACAGACCCAGTTTTGTTTTTTTAGCCAGCACTGGGCAACGGAGTGAGATAAGCCACAAGGGATAGACACTGTCAACAGCAATGGTATGAACAGCCAGTAAGAGAAGATCTGTCTCAAGGTCCGCAGCTCCTTCAAGGAGGGTTAAGTTTACATCATCGTTCACAGTAAGATACACAAAGGCCTGGTTTTTCATATGTAAAGTTATTAGAAAGCATTTCCAACTTATATCCAACACAAACCTTCAGAATTCCATGAAGTGGGTTACAAATAAGTTGGAATTGTGCCAATAATTGAAGTTGGTCAATTACAATCACCACTAACAAATTTTCTTTAAAGAGATAAAGAACTCTAAAATGTCTATGTTTAAATATATTGAATTAAAACACTTTAAAAACAAATCATAGTAATATATGCTGACTACTTTTAAAAGAACCACATTTGATAATATTAATGGATTTGCTTATTCCTCCTCCTTTCTTCCAAAGGAAGGTACCCAAATTGTCTACATATTGAGGCTATATTTTCATTATTTGAATGAAACGAGGCTATATTTCATTGACTAGTCAATTTATAAATACAAACAAAATAAAACCCAAAACAATAACCACAAAGTTAAATTCTAGCTGGTTTTCAGGACACTAAAGATTTATAATCACTAAACATCCCCAATTTATTTACCGTCTCAGCAGACATCTTTCTACAATGTCTTAAACATTACTCCTTACAAAAAAAAAAAAAAAAAAAAAAAAAGGCTGTTTGCACTGAAAACACTTTAACCTTATTTTGATAAGAGTCCATCAGAAACAACCCCTGCTTCCTCTACTCCTCTGGCTTGAGGAATGAGAGCTGCTGGTCCCTTTACTAAATGGCCCAGTGGTTATGCCTTTGGAGGGAATGTTCCCTTTCTTTGCAGTTTCTTTCCTTGTTTCTATCAGGAAAGCTACCACTAGCAGCAATTGTCCCTCTTTATAATTTTCTGCCTCTAACTGGCAATGAGTTGGAGGGAACATAAGTAACTATTCTTAGCTAAGTTAAAACTGTGCTTATACAAGAGTAATTCCTGGGAATCACCTATGAATAAAGATCATGATTTTGTGAAATTTATTTTGGCCACTCAAAAGATACTGTTCTTGTTTCTTCTAATTTTCTGCTTTCTCTGGTAGAGTTTTCTTCTAGAATGGAATTTCCATTACAGCACAAAAATAAGCCATTTTTAACGTTTTGTCTCAAACTCTTTTCACACCTGTACTTAAGAAAATGCTAACCGCCATTGGAAAGGACTGACTAGGAATGAATTCCATCTCATAGCTATCGCAGGCACTCCAAAAGATTTCGCCACACTGTATAAAGTCTCAAAACTATTCAAGTGTACTGGAGTCATGAGGGAAACCAGATGTTCTGTAGAGCCTACTGGAAGCTACTTGATAGGGTGTCACAGACCCATTCTTTCAAATCACTGACTTAAGGCTATTTATAAACCATAATATGAAATAGGAGCCAAAAGGAAAAAAAAAGGTAACACATCATTGGGGTCATCTTAAAATAAAACACTTTTATAATGGTCAAAATCATATCCAGTAAGTCCTAACAAAGCTTAAGTTAGATATATAAAAAAAAGTTGTGTAAAACTTTAGGGCATAACTAGCTTTCTTAAGACAGCAAATTCAGTGACCTAAAAGTTGAAGGAGCTGGGATTAGGAGGCTAAAAGCCTTCGGTTTCTAGGCCCCTTCAGGTTAAGTCTAGACAGCAGTTTGATTACACCTCAATCTGGGGCTGAGAGGACAATAATACCAAGAAAACCACCACAAAGAACCAAAACACCAAATTTTCCATGCCCAACAACCCTCCTGTACTAATCTACCCCGAAGCTAGTGCCCACTCCAAATGCTGGGTTCGAACATTCCCAAGAGAGAATGAGGACAAAAAGATAATTGACTCTGGCCCTGAGACAGTGGGTGACCTTTCCTTTTCCTATTGAATGATTTCTCTCTATTAACAGAGAATTCCCACAGATACATCTAAGTTAGGAACAAAATGCTTGTACAAACTGAAATACAAATGATTCTAATAATACAGTTATCACCATTTCTATTCCATTAATGTAGATAATCAAGAGCTGACTGTATAGAGCTATTAAAATATAATCATTCTCTTTTTCACTCCTCATGAATAATTTTCTGCATTAACATGAATGATCCAAAATTGATTCTGCTCCTTGTTTAAATTAAAATGTTCTTTATCATTGGATAACCTTGCCACCCATTATACTTGTGAAACACATTTAGGCCAGGGAAAAACACGTACCGATGTACATAAAAACTGTATGCATTGTGAAATGCATACATACACACACTTTGTCAAAATTCTTTTCAGATACCATGAAATATGCATGGCACATAAAACTTGATATGCTTATGAAATACAAATTATGCAGAAACAATGAAAAATTTAGACAAACAAAACCTATCAAGCTAAGCAGTATGCTTACCAAGATAGACATATAGTTTGATAGTTACAAGCTTTTTGCTCTAGCTTGACTACAGGGTGAGAGGGCTCTTTTGAAGTCACATTAATTATTTATGAATTATTTATGAATATAGCAAACAAAAACCAAGTATTAAAAAGTTTACAGCCATTCTGGGTTGTATAAATTCTCACCAATGCCACATTCCAATGTATGTTAGGTATTTGCCTTTTGGATTTATTTTTATTTATTTCTGGTAAATCATTTTTACATTTATTTCTTTGCTACTTAAGCTTCCTTGAATACACTTTAAGATGATTCTAAAATAAAAATCTGAAGTATATCACCCAATTTTGGGTATCTTAGGTTGATCATTTAAATGAAACATCCTCAGTTTCAGAAATCATACCCCTTGTCCTATAGATTTTAAATGCACTTTTAGTTGTAGGTATCTAGTTTGGCATGTCAAATTAATTTCATTCAACTTGCATTCTGCAATTCTTTGAAGTTACATTAAACCTTTTTTCTTTTTAACTGGAGAGAAATGAATCTCAGAAAGTCAACTATTAAATCCAAAAGACAAATAATTATGTGTAGCAGTTCAAACTGGTAGGCCAGCCGAAAAAAGCCCAGGTCCGTAAGCCGGGCTTTTATTAAGAAACTGAGTTCTTGAGCCTGATGCCAATTACCTTAAATGAAAGATACTCTTTATCTCAAAAAGGGTATCTTAATCATAAGAAATTCTAGGTTTATCTACATATAGTATAAGCAGTAAGTGCCCAGGGCTTTAGCTCTACCAACCACCAAACAGAATGGATTCTTCTTTTCTTCTACATACATATCCAGATCTCACTCTTTTTTTTTTTCCAGTGTAAGATCGTACAACGAATGTTTAAAATAGTCAAAAAGCCAGGTTAAAAAAATTTTTTTTAAAATGGCTGTGCTGATGATTCAAAAGGACCTAACTCTGGAGGCATTTCTGGTCAAATCCAGTTGTTTGCCGGATGCTGTAATAGTTGATTCTCCTACCGTGACCCGGCTGTTGGTGCCCGGGTTCCCTCCCAGCCTGTAGTTGTTGTAGGCGAGATGACTGTATGGATTGTATCCCACAAACCCTGGTGTGCTGGGCATTTGCTGATGGAAACAAATGAGACAAAAACACGAATGAGAAATGAGCTCAAACGAGGAAAACACAGAAATGAAAAATGATCTGCATATGGCATGCAAAAGCAACCTGAATTTAAACAAGCAATGATGTGTTGTAATTGTTCTTTTTCTTTCATTGAGAAACCAGTCTGCAAGTGGTTTTTTTTCCTTCTTCCCTTTCTTTCTCTTTGCAGGGGCCAGGTGTGTTTGTTGTCAGTGTGAGTGTCTCTGCTTGTTTTTTCAGAATAAGCAATGCACTGAAGTGTCTCAAACACTCTGGATTACTTTATGGTCAATAATATGATATAACAACTTAGCAATAGATGTCTGAGATAGGAAGGCCTGAAATGTGATAAACCAGAAGTCTGAAACACTTTACATGCAAAACAAAACGTGATTTACTTGACAGTTATGTAGATGCCGCCAATGTATTTATCTATTAAAAACAAAAACAAGAAATGGACCGTTTTCAGAGACAATTTTAAATCATTCTACATAATGTGAGAAATGAAAAGATCCTCAAATCAGGAAGCCAGAGTTGTCAGTAGAAAAGAACATATGTGGGATTCAATGGGTGTCACATACATGATTTCAAAACAAAGACTTGTAAGAAATGCATGGATTTCATTCGGGGGTGCTATCTGATCTTTTAAACCCAGTCACTCTTTTTTTTAGGCTTTCTCTTCCATCTCTTCTTTGATCCATCGTCCATAGATCAATCATGAACACTTTCTGCATTTAGTTTTAATGTGAACTACTTTTCTAGTTGACAGACTTGAACTTTCTTTTTCCATCTAGTTTCTTGATAGCTCTGACCCTTTCAAAACACAACTGCTCATTGCAGCAATGGAATTTTTGGGTTTCGTGAATTATGTGTTGATGTAATCACAAATGGGCTCTTATATAGCAGTGCCCTCAGGGTTAATACAATGACATCCAATGTTCATGAGAATCAAGGTATAATGCATTAAAAAGGATGTAGCAAAGAGAAACCAAAAGTAGGGTATTTTACCTAATGAAACTCAATCAAAACAACTAATTTAATTTTAACATGCAATTAACAGTATTAGTCCTCAATTGTAGAATGTAAAATACACTTAACACATCCCAACCAAGCTGTGGCTGTTATAAACACAATTTTCTAAAACATGCCGCTGCACATATCCTTAGTGTCCAAAAGAAAGATATTCAAGCAGATATTACATTTGAAACTCTTTAGGAGAAGAGAATTGATCACTTCTAGTCTGTATAGTTATAAAAGACGCAAATTAGGCATATTTAAGTAGGCAAAACACAGATGAAGTATCAAAGGCACAAGAGAAGTGTATATTACTTGGAGTGGTACATCTGGGTGGTGGTGGTGATGGTAGAAGTAATGGAAAAAAAAAAGGAAGGAGGATAATTCATTTAATATCCGTTCTGTTGGCTGTCCTAATCCCTAGTCTTCTGTATTTTATGTGTCAATGTGAAATTACAATAGTACAGATACAGGATTAAAGAAAGGCCAAAAAAAAAAAAAAAAATCCCTCTCTAGATCTGAGAAGTCATAAGGGGGACACTTGGTTTTTGAGCTATTTTTATTATCCCAAAAAATCAAGTCTGTCTTCGAGAGATTATACACTGTCAGAGGCAGTATGTACGTCAGAATGACATCTTCAAAGGTTGCATAAAGAATGAGCATCACTGTTCAGCATTATGAGGCAATAATGTAAGAAAATTAAGGGAATAAAAAAAAAATCAAAACTAAAACATTACAATTGTACCATTTCCAAAAGTGAAGTACATGGTTAGCTCTCTGAGGTCAGGAATCTCAACTGTTCAATTCCACCTGTATAACCACTAGCAGAGTGCCAAGGAGATGGTCGTAAGAGATGTTCTTTGATTTAAGAAAGAAAACAAACCAAACACAGGACTTTAAGATCTACGGGAAGTAACTTTGAAAACTGTATATTACATAAATTGAAATGAGAACATGAGATACAGTATCTCTTCTAAGAAGTATCTTACTAAGGAGAAACCAACTGTTGATAAACAGAACTAAAGCATACATCTGAGGGTTAGTAAGTAAGAGCAGTCATCTAGTGGAGAAAAAAATTACACAAGGACCTAATTAGTAGGCTAGCCTGCAATTTCGGGGATAAGGGGTCAGGAAGGAGGGCTAACAGCTGTTAAAGAACTGCTTTTGTAAGCTATGGTCAATGTTAACAGTGTTTTTTTTTTTTTTTTTTTTTAAGACAAAAAAACAACAAAACAACAAGGAATCCGTTTCAGTAAGGCCTGAACAGTTCCTGTTATATCTGTTTTGTGGATTGGACGATTATTTTACATGCTGTCCAAGCTGGGCCAGAACTTGCTGGGTGAAAAACCTGGTTCACAAGTATTATTTAGAAACTTGGAAACATATTCAATAGGCAGGATCTGACCCACAGATAATGAAATCCTTACTTAAACAGCTTGAAAAATAAAAATTTACGAGTGTTATTATAGAACTGGAAGCTTTATTGTTTGATTTACTATGAAAGTTATATATAAACAAGGACAGAAAAGTGTAACCAGTTGAAGGTTAGGTTTAAAAATAATAACAAATGCCAGAGTAAGCATTCACTCAATATCAACTTTTAAGACTCTGGATAGAGATTATCTAGAAAGAGGTGTTAAACTTATCATTTATTTCCCATTAAAAAAAAGAACTGAGCATAGGAGGTTGGAATTTCAGCAATATGTTTCTTTAAATGTTGGGGGTGGTTCAAGGTAAGATGCAAAGAGTTATTTTATTTAGTAGGAAGTGCTGTTTTTTGGCTGAATTTTTCATCCTGTTGCTGTGATGATTGAGTGACTGTCACTGGAAGACATCTGGGTTTTTGTATCAAGGCCAGACTTGGCTATTACATTAACAAGAAAATTAAAACTTACTGTTGCAGGAGCTGGGGTGGGAGGTGGGGCATAAGATGGTCTTTCTGTTTGAAAGAAAATAAATAACTTCTTGTAAACAACTGAGATATAATACTATGCAACAAAACTACCAATGGTCCTGTTTTGAAGAAAAAAAAATGAGAGTATTTTGGAATTCCCATTTGCTAGGGCATTAGTCTCTTATTAATAGATAAATATAAAAAATGAAACTTACTTGACATTTTGGAAGATTAAGTTCTCAGTTCCTTAAGAATGAATCTGAGACACTAAAATAAAAAAAAGAAAAAAAAAGAAAAAAAAAAGAGAATCAAAACTCAGCAAGCATAAGAGATGTTTTCCTATAGAATAGGGTAGTTTAATTGGTATTTCTTAGTAAAATTACACTATCTTCTAGTAATCATATCCTTTGCATATTTTACTAAATCCTATAGGTCACTTGGTTCATCAGAATTAAACAACTAAAACAAACTACTGGGGATATTAAAAGTAATATTAGACGTGTACTTTCAAGTTTTTTCTTGCCACCTCCTGCACGGAAAACATTTTGCTAATGCCATGTAAACATTTAATCAAACTGATAAAAATATAATGACTGAGCATAGAATGTGATGTATTATCAGGGCCCACCCCAAAGGCGCCTACCACATACTAACAGCTCACTGATCAACAGCAGCTCTACCTTCCTCTTACGATAACAACTTCTATTAAAACAAGGCAGCATTTTATTTCTGGAGGCAGTGCAAAAGGTAACTGGTTGATAATGAGCTTTACATTCTCTTACAGTGGTAAATAGCTTTATATCTCCTGGGACTAACTTTTGAGCATCTACCTGAAAAACTTATTAACCCTTCACAGCCCATTTCAAAATATATCTCCTCAATGGAGATTTCGTGATAAATTACTTGGGGAGAACAAATTGCTTCCTCCTCTGTACTCCTATCCAATTCACATAAATCTAAAATATTGTTCATTATATTGTGTTATACCTGTTAATATGGCTAAACTGTAGAACAGAGGCCATCTCATTCATTATTGTAGTCCCAGCACCTAGCTCAATTCTTATATTTTGTCTTAGTATTACCAGCTCGGAACAAGAACATAAAGGCGTCAGCTTGTTTCTTACATCAATATACATCACACACAATGCGTACAAAGAGACAAACATTTTAGAAAAAGAGCAAATAACTTCTATGACTACTGGAGTACTTTCATCAAACATTATGTGAAACAAGCATGATGCTTTTGCTTCTAGTCGACATTTTAAGGGAATTCCCTGGAGCATAAGGAATCAGAGGACTGTGTGGGAAGAAATCTTTTTTCAATGGCCCAAACTGGGTCTCTCCCTTTCCGTAAGGAAGGGGCAGAAACCATGCACTCTGGTGCAGATCTCCTTCCTCCGCACATATTGGGGGGTGGGGGGGGTGGGGGTGTGTGTGTGTGTGTGTGTGTGTGTCTGTCAACAAGTAGGCCTCGCTGTGGGGAGCCCTGATAATAATTGCCAAAGCTCCCTGGTACATCACACTTTATTGTTAATACTTTAAAATTACCGCTCTCGTCTGCTACGATAAATTCTAAGAGTGGGCTTGTACGTTTGTCTGCCACTGGATCCACCCCTGGAGCCTGGCATAAAATACTAGGTATTCGCTGAACACTTTATACGGGGTCAGCCTTATCACTTATCTCGGTTCATGGTCACAACTACCCTACGAGGTATGTATTGATACCCTACTTTACACATGAAAAATGGGAGCCCCGGCGAGTTTAAGTAACTTGTCTAAAGCCACACAGCCAGGAAGTGCCAGAGCTGGGTTTCAAACCCAGGCCAAACTGTTTCAGAGCTTTCGCTCTCTACTCGAAGCCACACCGTGAGTCCTCGGTCGCTGCCGAACCAAGGGGAAGCCACCTTCCTGGGGGGATGCACCACGGGCTTGGCTTGCCCCAAGGGCTTCCCCTGAGGTCGTTTCCTTTAGGTTGTTGCGGAGAAGGCACTTCACTAACAACTCCACTGAAGAGGGGAATGCATAGGTGCCTTGACCAATTTCGCGGGGTTAGTGGAAGGGGCAAATCTTGCCGCCGGGGAGGGGCCCCAGAGGGGACTCCCTCCCGAACCCCGCTCCGCTAGGCCTCAAGGAGGCCGCAACCGGCCCCCAGCTCCGGGCCCACGGCCCAGCCTGAACCCCAGCAGCCCCCGGGAACTCGAGGTCCAGCCAGGCCGGGACACCGCGACTCGCCACCCTCCCGACCCGCTCGGGCCCAGTCGGAAGCACTCACCCGCGGGCAGAAAAAGCGCCCGCAGCTCCGGCCTCGTTTCCCTTTGTCCCGCGCACGCCCCGCCCCTCGCGTCCGGAGCGTCCGCACTCGCACTTTCCACACTCTTCTTAATTGCTTGCCAGGCCTCACCGGGCTCTTTTTAAAAAATAAACCTCCAGGTGAGGACGCGATGATGCTTCGTCCGGTCAGGGATTTTTTTCAGGCCCCATACGATCTTCAAACCCCCCCCGAACGTGGGCCCTCTCCAGGCCGGGCGCCGATTCGTCACGGCGAAGGGGGCGGAGGGGCCCGGCGGCGGGAGAGGCCCGGTCGGCCGCCGCGCGAGGCCGGAGCGGCGGCAG